TCTATTAAAATAAAAGTAGTCCATTAAAAATTGCGGGCAGCGCTTATTTAGACATTTCTTCACAAGGTTTAATGCATGAATCTCTCATCTAAGCCCCAGTGTATCATACTTAAGGTGAGCTAGCACTTCATCACTGCTGTTGGTTTGCATGATAATCCTGGCCCCACATCTCTGTAATTTTTCTATATTATCAGCATTCGTACGTCCGCATTAGTTCCAAACGGTATCACAATAATCAAGAACAGGAAGAATAAATGATCTGTAAATTTACCAGCAGTATGCATACTAATGCTCCGCCTGGTGCGGCCAAGAATTCCTATTCTCTTACTAACTTTGCTTATTAAATAATTCACGTGTGCGTTCCATGAAAGCGACTAATCCAAAATTACTCCTAGGTATTTATACTCAGCAACCCATGTTAGCCCCTTACCATCGATATTCAAAGAGAGATAAGCAGTTGCTAACCTAGAACCAGTACCAAATATAACACATTCTGTTTTGCCTTGTTGAATAAAAAGACTGTTGTCTACAAGCCAGTCATTAACCTTGGCAAGTTCACTGGTAAGAGTACTACTGATCATTACTCGCGGTGAAATACATAACTGTATCGTCAGCGTACATCAGAATCTGGCATCGTTCTAGGACTATAGGCAGATCGTTGACAAACAGGACAAAGAGTAAAGAGCCAAGAATTGACCCTTGAGGGACACCCGATGTAACGAGACATGGATCAAAGATTTCGTTACGAAAACTCACAAGTTGTTTGCGGTCTGTCAGGTAGTTTCGGAACCAGTCTAACTCAATGTCCTTAAGTCCATATGACTCTAGTTTCCTATAAGTATTTGCTGATCAACAGAGTCAAATGCCTTGCACAAGTCAATAAATACCCTCCCAGAGAGCAATCCAAGGTCCATGCCACGCCAGATGTAATCTGAAAAGGCAATAGCGGCAAATTCAGCTGATTGGTTCCTTCTGAAGTCACACTGGAAAGGGAACTCGTTCTTAATCAACCATAATAATAATAAATGTTCATTTCTATATAATTGTGAACATTGCCTAAGAGGTAAGGAAAACAGAATTTGAGTCTATATTGGTATGCACACATTGACATTCCAAAATTATGGACGTTCGTATAAGGGTTTTACAAAAACCATTAAAAAGTGCAATACTCAAAATTTCCAATTAAAACAATCACATGCAATAGCAGAGTATTTTGAAAATTGTATCTCACTCCTGGGGGATCAAGACAGGCAAAATGATACTGAAAAGCATTCATAAGTTTTAGTTAAATGAAGCAATGAAAAAAAGCCTCATCGTCTCATCATTGCTTAAAGAATTCAACGAAGGTATGTTACACATTCTTCCCGCTTGTTTTGTCTCATGATGGTTTACAGAACAAGAGATATTACACACCCACACTAAGTGTATTGCCTATCAATATTGATAAGGGTGAAGCCCTAAGAATCACGATTAGGGTTTAATAAGCACTGAACAGTACTGATTAGGGTTAAGCACTCACTCAAAAAACGGTGAGCTACGATCCTGGCGAAAACGCTCTGGGACACCTCCCCTTTTTCACTTGGTTTTGTATGGAATACACTGTCATAAACACGGCCTTAACAAGATTTTTCCCCTACCCCCCCTAAACAAAGTTGAGGTCGATAAAGTGTACAAGATATGTAAAGGGTGTTTGACTTGTAACACCCAACACTGTTCGGGGGGGGGGAAGGGGGTCAACTTGAATTACATTTTCCTCACCTGAAACGCAAAGTGTCCCAAACGTTTTGACCAGGATTGTAGTTAGCTTCTATTTGCAGTGACAGTTGTTGCTATACATAGCTTCAACTCAAACCCTTATTGGCCGTCAGCCAATCCTCGGTAAGTGTGTATAGTGGTTTAGGTGATGAACTGCAGATCTGAGGCTCCAGAATCGAATCCTACTCGTGCCATCTTCGAATTTTTTCCCTTACAAATAGAAGAGACAGACTTTCATGAACATTTCATCTAGCAGAAATTTCAAAACACATGTAAGAAAAGTGAAATATCTTGTGAGAGCCACTGATTCGACAAAAATATCATTCTGGAGTATGGAAATGAGTGTTAACCTTCTAGGTAACTCTGTTTAATTTTAGTTCCAGCTCCACCAGCAACGCCTGGCCTCGGTTGTTCAAAGGCTGGATAACACTATCCACCAGATAAATCTCTATCCAGTGGATTGTGCTATTGGTTTTCCCAATACTTATCCGCTGTCCAGTGATTTATCCGGTGGAAAAGAAAAGCCAACTGGACAAGGCATGCACAAGTGCCATGCGTGTGGTAGATCTGGGCACTTTGCATGTGACAAGGTGTGTCCTGCGAAGGAAAAGTTGTGTGCTAACTGTGGCAAGAGAAGGCACTGGGCGACGTGTTGCAGGAATGAGACAGATGGAAAGAGTGATAGAAGAGTAAGTGAGCGTAATAGTTGGCAATCCTGTGGTGCTACCAGTGGACGTAATTTAAAGCCACGGGGCCAACAAGTTAATCAAGAGAACTGGGTAAGTGAAAAGGAACCATTTGCCTTACCAATTAACTACAATGAGGAAAGGGCCTGTGAAGATAACGTTATTGCAGTGAAGATTAATGGCACCGTGACAAGGTTGCTCGTTGACTCTGGAGCACAGCCAACCGTGCTTGGTGAGCAGCAGTTTCACAACCTAGAGAGGAATGGTCTCAAAGCAAACTTAATGCCAGAGGAGAGGAATCTTCGTGTTTATGGCAATGGGTGTTTACCAGTGGTCAGTACATTTGAGGTTAAAATTGCATGTCATGGGCAAAAAGTAGTGGAAACTGTTCTTGTAACACAGGGAGAAGGGCAGTGTTTGCTTGGTAGCCCAGCTGCTAAAAAGTTTGAAGTGCTGAAAGCTAGACTGGACCTGCTGAACATGAAGACAGTTCATTCCATAGGCAGTGATATCAGCAGCATTGTGGGACCTTTTCCAAAGCTGTTCTCTGGGGTTGGCAAGTTGTGCGGGAACCAGCTGATGAACTTACACCAACAGCACAGAAACCAAGGCAGATCCCTTACCCGTTGAAAGATGAAGTCTACAGAAAGATTGACGAGCTTCTAAACCTTGACATTCTGGAGAAGGTTCAGACGTAACAACTTGGGACAGCCCAGCTGTGATAGCCCCTAAGCCAAACAAGGATGATGCGCATATATGCGTTGACATAAGGCATGCCAATGAGGCAATTCAAAGGGAGGAATTTTGGATTCCTACAGTGGATGAGGTGCAGGAGGAAATGAATGGTAGCACGGTTTTCTCCAAGCTTGACATAAACATGGGGTTTCATCCAATTGAAATTGAGGAGGGGTCGAGCGATATCACAACATTTTCAGCTGGTGATTCATTCTATCGTTACAAGACGTCGAGTTTTGGAGTGAATAGTGCTCCTGAACAGTATCAGAACATTTTTAGGCAGACAATCACTGATTGCCCCAGTGCCACCAACATAGCTGATGACATTGTTGTATACGAACAGACAACTGAGGAGCATGAGAACAATCTGGTGACATTGTTAGAGCGATTACAGGAAAGAAACTGAACCCTTAACAAGGACAAGTGCAAGATTGGAATGAATCAAATTGTTTTTATGGGACTGCTTCTAAGTGAGCATGGCGTGGGACCAACAGAGGAAAAGGTCACAGCAGTTCGTGAAACAGAGCCCCCTACTAGTGTTGCCGAGGTGTGGAGTTTTCTGGGACTTATCAGTTTCAGCTCAAGTTTCTCGCCAGATTTTGCAACAACTGCAGAACCACTACGAAAGTTGACACGACAAGATACCAAGTGGCAGTGGGGCAAAGAGGAAAACAGCTAAATTATCATACAGCAGACCTGTAGGAGCATCTTGTGACAACCTGTGGTTAAACATTTGCCAAAAGCGAGATGAATATGATGAAAAAGCCAGATCCTGGGAACTTCAAACAAATTTTCGAGAACAGTCTCAACGAGCTCGAAATGGTGTACTTCTGCAAATACTTCATTCGACTGCTCAACTGCTGCATCAAACAACACAAGGAAAAAGTAATGTTACTGGTAGGAGAGCCGAACAGTGGAAGAATGAGCCTTTTTACATCCATCTTGTGCCCGATCCCAGCGAGATACATTGCGATGATCTCTAGGCAAAAGGCGTTCAAAACGAGCTTACTTGACGAAAACACGTGCAAAATCTTCCTGGACTAGACACATGCCAACGTGATGGATCCAGATGACTGGAAAATATTGACACAGGGAGGACTAACCACCCACGACCACTAGTATAAGACGTCAAGTTTGAAAGTAATAAGATGCCCAATGTTTATCACTTGTCAGACTGACACGGATTTTGGAATGGACCAGAACACCGCCATGGACGCCCACTTAAGAAAATTCTTTTTACCGCACCGGGAGTTGCAGGAGTTCAAGAATTCTTACAAGCCAATGCAATTGATTGCATTGTCTGGGCATGTGGTCTCGCAAGAACGTCAGAGGACTAGTTTACTTCCGGAGGACATTGATGAAGAAGAGAGAGATTGAATTAGGACCATTCAACTAGACAAAGCAAGAAGGGAGCAATGAAGCGGAGGTGAACACTACTACAGAATTCAGTGATCAGAAAGAGAGAGTGAAGACTTGGCTACTGATTCAACCTACTTGGGCCAATAGGAGAAGAGGCTAAAGAATATTGAGCTTCAGCGAGAGCAAGAGCCATGCCACAGCCTCAAACAGAGGCAACTAAATCTACTCGCAGCTAGGGTAAAACACACAGTGGAGGACGTTGACAACCAAGAAGAACGCGCATGAAAACGTGTTCTAGAAGAAACACGTCAACGATGGATCTCATACATATATTCATACATATATACATCGTTTATTTGATAAAGTGGGTCGAATAAATGGCAGCTATTGCTGATGTGGACCTGCTATCTACTTTACACTATAATGATTTGACATCTAACAATATATCGTAATATATATAATCATATGACTGACACGCCTGTGGATGCAGATGAAGTCGGTGCCTTTGGTTTGTACAAAACTGGAACTGAACATTTGTCGACTGAGTCTGTAAATAGCATCAATCTGTATGTAGTAAATGTTCACTTAGGTAAGGCAAAAGTTAACTGTAAGGTGGAAGTTGACACGGGTGCATCTCGTTCTAAAGTGTCAAAGTGTGTATATGATTCTGTATTATCTAATTATACCCTTCAGCATGCAGGAATAATTTTGCGTAGTTATTCAGGTGAAAAGATTCTTGTATTGGGAAAAACGTCTGCACCAGTGAAGTATGATAATCAAGAAAAAGTCCTTGATTTAATTGTTGTCGAAAGAAATCTCCCTGCATTGTTTGGGCAAGACTGGTTAAGTAGAATAAAACTAAATTGGAAGAACACGTTTAGGGTAAAGGAAGAGGTCATTACGGATAAGTTTTCTGTTCCAAGATCTGAGACCTTTCCTGCTAAATTCAACGATTTATTGCAAGAACACAAAAATCTATTCATAATCCACCCTTAGATTTTCAGAGGGAACCTTCGTTCCTGAAACAAGGTTACAAATTCAGTCTGAAGTAGACAATGAGATTTCTCCTAAATCTAGTGTTATTGCTGTACCTGTTGTTGATGATAATAGTAATGTAGAGAGTGGCAACAACTCTGGACTTCGC